CATTAAATCAGAGTCATAACTATGAAACTGAAAACAAAAAGTTTGTAAATGGAAAAAAAAATTGAAACTGAAAAACAATTAGAATCTTGAAAAGTTTTAAACATCTTGTCTTTTCAGTTTCAACTATTTTGTTCAGTTTCAATTTTTTTTTCCATTTACAAACTTTTTGTTTTCAGTTTCATAGTTATGACTCTGATTTAATGTGGGGGGCGGGGCCTCAGATGACAAGTGGTGCAGAATCATGATTGACAGCTCAACACGGGCTGGACAAGGTGTTTTATTCAGGAACCACCAGCTATGAGTGGAATGTTGTCAGTCCAAAAAATGTCTGTTGTTAGAGGTTATCAGTTCCAAAATGTCTGCAGACTGTCCTTCCTTTACCTCCTAGTAGGTTGGAAGGCACTTATCAATCATTTGTATGCCTGATAATATGCATTCAGATAATATGCTTTCAGGCTTATTGGGCTTGGCTTCTCCCCCAGGATGTGGAGCCCAGGCAGTCTGTCCGACTCGGTTTGACCCGGGGAGGCACTCGATCTGCAGTATGGAGATCTAAGGTGTAGCCGGGGCTCGCTCCAGACATTGATTCTCACAGACCGACTGCAGAGTTTTCCAGGTCCACTCAGACATGTTTCAAACTTTATTCAACTGTTCTCTGCTGTGATTAACATTTCCTGAAACTATTGTGTGTTTTTATTTCTGTTTGATGACGGGAGAGGGGAATATATTTAATCTTAGACAACCAAAATCCAACCATTAAACCAGCCGTGTGATTTGGTTTAAATTTCTGTCAGCTGTAGCTTCCTGAAGGGTTGTACTCTGAGGTGGATTTATTTTATTTAAGCAGCTCTGTTGTCCTCCATCCATATTTTCAGTTCCAGGCTGAGTCATTTCTACCTTCTCCTCTCTGTCAATGCTCTCTGGTTTCATTTAAAAGAGTCKATCATCAGATATTATCCGAGATTAACCTTCAGGGTGGATATAGCTCACTAGCAGCCTCGCACCGAGGACCTATCCACGTCATCATTTACCCAGAATGCGTTGTGTGGAAATAACATGGCTCCGTCCATGTTAAAATATATTTTTAAGATGTATTAATGTCTTAAAAGAAGAGTATGCTGTTTATAAGCCAGCATTGGTGATAAACATCATCAATAATGGATTTTGATTATTTTACCCRTTATGAAAGAGTTGTAAAATCTCCATTTCAACCCAAAAGTTAGTAAAACTGTTTTCTTTTACTTTAATAGTTTTTCTCTCTTTTTAACTCATATTTAGTCAGTCATAGATATAGTACTTTTCAGTATTTATAAAAGGTTAAATGAGGTAGAGTTCATTTACTGTTTGTGAACAGGGTTTAGTAGCAGCAATGAGATGAGGGACTTAATKTTTCATGTGTAGGGGTCACCTYGAGTGAAGAAACAAGATTTACTGCCTCGARGCAGGCCTCGGAAAGGCCTGATGAGAAGGCAGGAACACTAAACTCTATTTAGGCCATGACAGGTCATTTTAACCTAGAAGAGAATTTCTCAGTTCTCTTAATCAGATAATGAACAGAACAATCTTTTCTGTTCGTGATTCATTTGTTGTTTAACTAAGAATGTTTATGCATTTGTTAAATCATATAATGACTGTCACAAAGAAAGTGGAATCACTTCTACTCTTTTGTCGTGCCTAAAAGATTAATTAATGGTATAAAAATCACAGAGAAAATCATCACCATGTTTTCATTGTGTTTTTATAGAAATCACTGTTTTTATTTTACTGGAAACATCAGTAATATAATTTTGAGTTTCTTGAGAAAATCTTTCATTTATCTGGACTAACAAAAGTTTCAGACTGATTTTTTAAACAGAAATGTTAATTAATCATCATAAATGTTTTACAGTGATTTCTCTTAGAGTCTGTCAGAAGGAAAAGTTAAAGAAGAGGTTATCATATTTTTGTTAAAACAACCACAGAATTTGACCTTGTGCTGGCGCCTGGCTGGCAAAGCTTTATCTTCCTTTCTTTTCCTGACTCATTCTTAACGCCTGAGGGGGGAACCAAAGTTCGTCCGCTTCTATTACTAACACGGACGTCTTTGAGAGATGGAACACTTCTTCCTGGATGCCAAACTGGGAAGGAAGGCTGAGTTCCTCTTCGGAGAAACCAGCTCGGCCCGTAGATCTTGCCCATAAGCCAATTAGGGGGATCTACGGCCAGGACAGTGGCACGCCGCGACTGTCCATCCGAGACTCAGGTCTCTAAGTGTTTTTCAACTCCCGAGGGGAGAATTTTATTTTGCAAGGAGGAACCGGATGCATCAGCTTGAATCTTTCTGGCGAAGATCGAAGCAGATGAAAAGTTGCCTAAAAATAAACACTTTTCGCCGAGGAACAGTGAGCGGGCCGAACGAAACGTTCCCTGACTGATCAGAGGTGAACCAGTGACTACCCAGGGTTTGGTTAAGAAGCCATCACCAGGTAACGCTGAGCATGTTCCGGGTGACGTGTCATGTGGAGATCTCAGCGCAGAGGGGACTTGCTGATCCGGTTGACACATCTTAACAAAATAAGAGTAGTGAAACACTAACCTCATTTTCATCCTTTTTTCTTATTCTTTATTTGCCAAACTKAAGCTAAAAGTGCCAGTAAAATTGTTTGGTTGTTAACATCAGAACTTGACGTTTTACTGTTCTATATGAGTAATCTGAGTTTAATGTGAATTAAAATTCGGACGCGAGTTTTATCTCATTTTAACTTTGAAGCTTGTTTTAGGAAACCACAATCAGGTGTACTTATGATYTGTTCAATTTGTGTAAATAAATGATTGCATAAYCTTTTTTGAATCAACTTGAACTYGTCTGAACATCCACTTATTGTGTCACTTTTCACTTTGCACAGTCAAAATGTTAAAGTAATGAGAAAATACCTTGGTAAAACTCTCCTCATAACTTTTGTTAGGAGAAGTACTGTATGTAGAAAGGCTTATTTTAACATAAGTCTAACTCCTACACATGTTTAGTCTAATTTAATTTTAGGGCAACCACAATACCCATAAGGCCCTCAGTGAAAAGTAGTTTGATAATCCTGGAATGCATATCTCCTGCTGCCTATCATTAAAACATAACACTTATGTCACACAGTTTGTCAGCTCTGGGAATGAGTTGGAGATGCTTTTTAACTATTACCAAACCAGATTTTAGCTCAGTATCTGTATAAATTAGAGCAGCAGAGCCATTTTTGTGTTTGATAAAGACATTCAGCTATGATGGCTATAACTAGCTTTTAATAGCATTAAAAATCTAACCCAAACCCTCGTGAAAACAGCTGGCTGTTTGAGGTTGCTGTAATGACCAGTTAAACCTCATGAGGGCGCTCACATCACTATTCACAGTGGGATTGTTCCACTTGACTGAAGGTTTGTGACTCTCATTTTCAGGAACATTACATCATCACTGTCTAAAACACACTCTCTCTCTCTCTCTCTCACACACACACATACACACACACACACACACACACACACACGTATAGAAGGTTAGGGAGGGGAGCATGAATTGAGACGTTGTTTGCATCAAACGTGAGCATAAAGTTATGTGCATTTGGAACTGCGAGGTGAGGAGGAGGAGGAGAAGGAGGAGGAAGAGGGAGGACTGTCGGCTGCAGGATTCCATCACTCTTAGCAACCGTTGTTGAGTTTCCACGGAAACGCTCTGCGATGTTCTCTGCTTCTCTTTTGTCCTCTTCCATCACTGTTTTCTCTCTTACGCTCTCTCACTCAGTCCCATCTTTATTCCTGTTCAAGCTCTCCTTGCATTGCCACAGCGATGCTGGGAGTCTGCTGCAGTGCTGGAGCCCAGAACTGAGCTGTGGGGCTGGTGGAAGAAGTCATCAGCTGACCACCTTTGCTTTTACACTTTCACATTCTGGCAGCCTTTCACCTGTCCTCTTTTCCACGGACTAGAGGCCATCCACTGGGATTGGCTGAGCTCTTCGGGTGACATCACAGGAAGTTGGAGGAAGTTGGAGGAACTCAAGCACTCTCTGATAGATGTTTTCACTACTCAAGTCACACCGATAGACAGTGAGGAGACTGGCAGAAAGCCCACTCTGGCTCTGTGAACACCTCCACAGAAACTCTACAGAGCATGAACGAGGAGGTGGAGGAGGCACAGCTGCCTGAGGAGGTGCCAGGAGAAGATGAACAGCAACAGGAGGACAGAGTTTCCCAGGACTTAGTTAAGAAAGAGAAGGATCAAGATCCACTGGAAGAAGAGCAGGTGCAGCAAAGTGAAGAAGAGCTGGAGGAGGTGCAGGAGGGAGAAGAGGAGGAGCAGGGTGAGGGGATGCCACACAGAGACAAACAGACTGACAAGGAGCAGGTGGAGGTGCAGCAGGACAAACAACTGAATGAGGTAGAGAAACTGCAGCAAAGTGAGGAAGAGCTGCAGGGTGAGGAGATGTCACACACACAGGATCAACAGACTGACAAGGAGCAGCCGAGCGAGGAGGAAAAACTGCAGGAGGAGGAGGAGGAGGAGGAGATGCCACAGACTAACAAACAGCAGTGTGAAGAGCAGCAGCTGCAGGACGTGGAGGTGCAGCAGTTTGAAGAAACGCAGGACTTTGCTGACACTCTGGAGCAGAACAACCAGGTCCTGATCCGACTGAGAGGCATGTGAGTAAAGCCAGTCAGCTGAGCCGTACAGTCCGGCTGAATGATGCAACCCTGTGTGATTACTGATGATGATGAGGATGAAGCTCAGTCAGCTGCTSAGGGGCCGCCGGGATGCCATCAAGTGTAGTCGCTTGGTTACCGTGGTAATAGTGTTGGCACAAAGCAAGGATGGAGGGACAACGATGACAGAAAATTGTTGTGGAGCGGCGGGTGTGCGACAGGAAGAGAGAGAGGGAGAGCGATTGTGTGTGTGTGTGTGTGTTACTTGTGAGGTAAGGAATATTTTTACAGTCGTGGTTTCTTACCGTCACATCAGGGGCAGACACATCTGCCTGGGTTTAAAGCTACGACTGCAGATGTTACAGAGAAAAAAGGGAAAAAAACAACATGCATTTTCATCCTCCAGTGTTGCCATAGTAACGGTGGCGCGTTGCGATGCAGCAAACTCTATAAAGATTGACAGATCAAGAGAGAGACAGAAAGATATGCAAATGAAAGCTGGGCGCAGACAAACCGTTTGATTTGTAGATGGTTCAACCTTCTCAAAACAAGAAAATATTTTAATATGAAAAACTGTTTCACAGCTTTTCCAGTTTTCACTGGACTTTGTGTCATTTTGACTTTCAGCCTTTCAAAGAAACATTTTATTTCCAACATTTTCCACATTCAACGTTTCTCTAAACAGAAAGAAAAAGTTGTTCTCTATTGGACACAACTACGTTTAACAGATCTTTCATAACATTAAAACCACCTGGCTACTAAGAATACTTTGTGTACTACACAACAATTTGTTCTGATGCATCACCTCATGCTCAACTACAATGTTGGGTTAACAAATCCATTCATCTTTATTGGGTACCTCAGTCAGTTCAAGTCCATTTATCTCAGTGTGCTGGGACCTCCTGCTCTACAGGACAATGTTGATTTTAGGGAGTGATGCCATATTTCCTAAGGGATTCCTACGTAGTCTACAATAATCTATGTTTTTGGCCAAAGCAGTTGCAAAGACTTTCTGAGGGTTGTAAGAACAGTGATTCCTAACGTAGGCAGTTATCAAGTCCCACATTTGCTTTCACATCACCAGGGGTGAACTCTATGATTGTGCAACACTTGTGCAACACTTAGGCTACTGTCTGCACGGGCTGACACTCATGCACGTGACATTTATCAATATTAACAACAAAAGAACACTGTGTCTGAAGCTGTGTGTCATGGGCCTTTGGTTTGATTTTAACCCAGTGTTTGAAAAAGTGGAATTATATTGAATTCAGTTTATTTATATAGCGCCAAGTCACAACTACTGTTATCTCAGGGCACTGTATATAAAAAAAATAATAAATCTAAAGAAGCCAGCAGACCGCACCAAATATTTGCTTTGTCATAGTCTCCATCCTGAGCGGCACACCTGCAGCAGCGGAGAGGAAAAACTCCCTGCTAATCAGGAAGAAACCTGCAGCAGAACCAGGCTCAGGACAGGAGACCATCTGCCTTGACCGGCTGGTTGGAGGAAATAAATAAAATACCATGTTAAATTATCTTAAATACCAAACACAATAGGAAATTATTTTGTGTCAAATTGTCCTATACTTAAAATTAAAAATTGTGACATATATTTGCATCTGTGGGGGGTGAGCGCATGTGTCCTTAACTAAATTTCAATTGGTTTACTTTTTTTTACTGTTGGGGGACAGGAAATAAACACAGACCAACACAGTGTTATGATTACATGGAGGRATGAACCCAAATCCAGGTGAAGATAAGCAGTTTGAAAAATAAAGATGTTTATTATAAAAATAAAACAAAAAGCTGACGTGGCAGCAAAAAAYAACAAATAACTCATGGGGAACAYGATGAGGAACATCAAACAGTTAGTAAAGCAAACAATGGACCAGTGATCAGTGGAGACAAGACCAGACTATTTATACAAGCAGAGGGAGGGAGAAGATGAGCAACAGCTGAGCGGGACTGATTAGATAATTACTGGCAGGTGCAGGATGACCAAAGAGGAAAAAGACACAAACAGACTGAGGGAAAAGGAATGAGTAATGATGCAAGGAGGACACAAGAGGGGGACGACAGACAAGACACAAACCCAACACACAGAAGAACTGGTCCAGGTGTATTTTCCTCTGGAAGACAAACAAATAAAACATGTTATGGACAGAARTAATWACAATAAACATGTAGAGAAGAGAGACTAAAGATAACAGTAGAGTGAATAAATGTGCTCAGTTTGTCCTCTGGCACTCTAAGCTTATAGCAGCAGAACTAATTAACCATAATAACTAAGGAATAATTCAGGAGGATCTAAGTCTGACTATAGGATTTMTGAAAAAGGAAAGTCTTCAGTCTAATCTTAAAAGTAGACAGAGTGTCAGCCTCACGGACAGAAACTGGAAGTTGGTTCCACAAGAGAGGAGCTTGATAACTGAAAGCTCTGCCTCCCATTCTACTTTTAGAAACTCCAGGAACCACAAGTAAACCTGCAGTCTGACAGTGAAGTGCTCTGTTAGGAAAGKATGGAACAATAAGATGTTTAATATATGATGGAGCTTGGTTGTTAACAGCTTTGTATGTTAGAGGAATTATAGGAGCTGACATGACAGATCTGTTTGTGCTTTTGTGCTGCAAAGCACAAAATAGCAATGGGTAAGTGGTTTCTACTTGAGCAATGCTTATTTGATTTTATTAGGGTGRATGCTGGAGGAGAATTTAGTTTGTGCCATGTAAACAAACAAACAAACAAACAAAGAGGAATTACCTCATATAGTTACAAGGACTGTGAAAGCACCCAGTAATGTGGACTTTGACTACAATAACTAAATGTCTCCTTTATCTGGCCTCCTCTAATTCCAAAATGAGAACCTGGTCTACTAYTAAAGTGGCAAAAAGCTATTTTGTTTTTTGCCCAGGGGGGATGCTTAAGTACATGAAAACAAAAAGTTGAAGTAAGTATACATTTTTTTAGTAGACAGTTCTGTCCAAAAGTAGATTCCATTGTTGGAGCATTCTCTTAAGTGCACAGAAATTCCTGTGAACTCACAAAATATCATCTGAAAAAAGTCCGACCAGCATTTTTCTTCTATTTGCAGCCTGTTTTTAAAAGTTGGCTGCAGAAAACAGAAATATCAATATGAAGAACTGAGAAGACACATTTTCTAAGGCAAAGTTATTTTTTTATCATTAGACCAACAAACATGACTTGTAAAAGGTCAAAAACAAACCAAAGTACTCACAACCCAAAAYGATGAAACGCTGACACATCAAGTGGAAAAACTAAACAGTCCTCTTTTGCTCTCTTCAAATTACCTTGTGATTTTTGAAACGGGGCCAGAACCAAATTCAATCTCCTTCATAAACAATAACTACAGCCAGTAAATTTTAAGTGTATCATTTTCAAAATGGCTGGGATCAGACATTTATTGCTTTTTCCAAATTATACAAAGACTGTGTAAATTGGCTCAACTCTAAATCCTCAAAGATCAAAAGTAAATACACAAACAAGAGCTAGCAGCTGCTCTAAAAGCAATAAACCTCAAAACTGACTGTTTGTGTTGTAGATGCTGTGAGGAACCACCACTCGCACAATAAACCATCAGAGTGTTTCTAACGAGAACAACTGTATCAGTAGAGACTCTTCTGCTCAGTTTATCTGACAGATTAGATCCACGTGGTGGTCATATTTAGTGGTCCACAGTTTCTATTTAATTATTTACCTTTTTTAGCTTCAGCAGATTTATAGCACTTTTCACATAAAATATTGTTCTCTAATGTGATTTCTTTTTGCAGCGCTGGCTCTTTATTCCATCTACTGTATTAGATTTCATACTTGCTTAATAAAGATTAGTGCATTTCAAACCACTGAAATTGTRAGTCAATACAATCAAAAGTTTGGTGTTTGAATGTGTGATTTTAGGCTTTCCATAGATCTATGGCACATTAAATCCAACTGCAGACCTGACTACTTAGGTCTCTACATGAAACTAATCAGACAGAAGTATTTAGGTTTAATTGAGGAACAGATTAAATGTTTTTTATTTGACCTACAGTATACTTGCCATTCCAGAAAAAAAAAAAACAATGAAACTCACAATCAGCCCACAGTTGAAAAAAAAAGACAAAAGTTTAAACTCTGAAAGAGTATGAAAATAAAAAAATACACATTCAAATCTGTACAAGATATTTTTTGTTTTAAAACTAGTTATGACAGTATTCAGCTTTGTTTCAGGAAAATGCACCATTTAGGCAGCCCTGGTTTTGTGTAACAGACTAGCTAGTTCTATTGCAGCTTGTTCCAGTATCAAGTCAGCAACTGAACTAAAGATCTGAGAAAAAGAAACATTTTGCCAACARAATTTAGTACATTTCTTAAAGACTCTGATTCCAAGATGTTTCATTTGTGCCAAGTTAACTAGCAAATRGATTATCTTTCAGCACAAACTCAATGAAATACTCTGATGGTGTAAAAATAAAACTRCTCTTCAACATCGATGCTTGTCAGCTCTACTGACAGGGCTGAACTCTGAGGTTAGGGGTATTCTGTCATGGGGCATAAACAGTCCACGGTTTGTTTTGATCTCTGGAGGACCCTTCTGCTCTCCGAGAAAACACACTGTTATGTAAAGTTCCCAAACTCAATTCTGTCAGGTAATTCAGTTGTTAACAGTTGTCTTTACAGATTGAAGTTCACAAAAATGTTGTGGTTAAGCMATTTTTGTTTCTAGGGGTGATCTAAATAGAAATCTTGTGTTTTCTGCAGAKAAATCAGAACTCAAGGAGCAGTAAAACATATTTGAAATGTAAGATAGTGAATTATTCATCCATTCATCTACCCATCTGAAATTTTGTGTATTATTAACTGACTTTAAGATCCAGTCTGGTAATTACGGTCTTAAACTTTAAACAGTGAAAAAGAAATTACTGTAAGTSTCTATCAATGTGTCCCTCTAACATAAAAAAATGCTTGTTTTACATTCCAATGTCTGATGTCTAAGATACCTCCTCAGGGGTGTGATCAGTAAGTCAAGTTTACATGTGATTTTACAGGGATTTTTTTATTAATCTTTAATCACTTCAGTAGAAAAAAGAACTTATTAAATTCTTAATTTCTTCATCAGTGATTTTTTTAGGTTAAGAGAAAATAGAGACAGAGAGAAAAACAGAGAGAGAAGTAATTAGAAAGATTGAAATTGAGATTAGAAGTATATTAAATACACACCAACAAAACACAAGACCACACACCCAACATCTGTCCGCTCACCTGAAAAATAAATGGATAAA